GGGCTACAGGAAGACCCTGTCTCAAAAAGACCAAAAAATAGTAATAATAATAGCAAGTAGGGAGAAGATGTAGGAGATGTTGAAGGGGAAAGAGAATTCAAAAAGTCCTTCTCTTCCGTAACTTTCACTTCAGAATCATCAAAAAGCAACCACTTCTCCTCATACTCCTTAAAGCTTTGTACTACATATGAAATTTTGTTCTCAAATCCACTCATGTTAATGCCTGTTTGGTCACTAGTTTCCTTACTTCTATCAGATTCATGAGTCCCATTAATATCGTTAGTTTCAGAATTTCTATTTTCAGCAAATGCTGTACAGACAACCTTATCGGGATTAGATGCTTGTTGTATTATATTAGCTGCTCATAATCTGATTTGCTCTTTTGTATTCCAAGAAGTCCAATAGCTTCTACTTTTTTGTTGTTGTTGTTGTTCAGAACTTTACTTAGCTGGGCACGATTTTCAGCCACACCCCTTGCTTCCTCCTCATTCAGTGTGCTCATTTTCTTTACACTTGCCTCGGAGTTTATAATGCAATAACATGGCAGTTCTTTAGCAAAAATGCCCCAAATTTCCTTTTAATGAGTAAAATGAAGTGGGGATCTAAGATGCTCAGTGACAGGAGAGCTTGCCTATCATGCACAAAATCCTATATTTTACCCTCAACACCACATAAACTGAACATGGTGGTACACACCTCTCAGGAGGCAGAGACAGAAGCCAAGCATGGCATACATGAGACCTCATCTCAAAATTAACTGAAGTAGATTTTTTTCTATTTTATTTATTATTTTTATGTGTATGATATATTACCTGGATGTGTGTAAGTTCACCCGTGTCATAAAATGCCTTAGGAGGTAAGAAGAGGGCATTAGATCCCATGAAACTGGAGTTAAGATTGTTAGTCTCCAGGTGGGTGCTGGGAATCAAACCCAGGTCCTCTGCAAGAGCAGTCAGTGCTCTTAACTGCTGAGCCATTTCTCCACCCCCTAAAATAGATTTTCTTTTTTGTTTTGAGGCTTTTTTTGTTGTGTTTTTGTTTTGTTTCATTTTGTTTTTTGAGACAGTGTCTCTCTGTAGCCCCAGCTGGCCTGGAACTCACTATGTAGACCAATCTGGCCTTGAACTCAGAGATTCACCTGCCTCTGCCTCCTGAGTGCTGGGACTAAAGGCGTGCACCACCACGCCCGGCTTTGAAATAGATTTTCTTAAACCCTCAAGAATACAATAAAATACTGCCGAGCATGCGTCAAGCCATTACTGTAAGCCAGGTACTCTCTAATAGCTATGCATATTCTTTCATTTAATATTTGTGGAAAAAAACACATGAGAACTGTCTTAGTTTGTTTCTTCATTGCTGTGACAAAACACTCTGATCAGTACCAACTTGGGGAGGAAAGGGTTTATTTGTCTTACATCTCCCAGGTCGCATGCAGTTCATCAGGGAGCCCAAGGTAGGAACTCAGGGCAGGAACCTGGAGGCAGGAGCTGGAGCACAGGCCATGGAGGAATGCTGCTTACAGGCTTGCTCCCCTGGCCCCTGCTCAGCCTGCTTTCTTATGCCACACAGGCCCACCTGCCCAGGGGTGGCACCACCCACAGTGGGCTGGGCCCTCCCACATCACTCATCAAGAAGATGCCCTTCAGACATGGCCACAGGCCAGTCCAATAGAGGCAATTTCCCGAATGAGGCTCCCTCAACCCAGGTGTGTCAAGTTGACACTAAAGCTACCCAGCACAAGAACGTTATAATTATTATCTGTATTTTACAAATGAAACTTAGACTCACCAAGCATGGTGGTACACACATTTAATCCAGCACTTAGAAGGCAGAAGTAGGCAGATTTTTGTGAATTTGGGGCAATGTGGTCTACATAGTGAGCTCCAGCCCAGCTAGGACTACATAGTAAAATCTGGCCTCAAAAAACAAAAAAACAGACAGACAAAAAAGCTGAGACTCGATATATGAAATAGTTATCAAGGGTCAGGTGAACTTAAGGAGCCAAGAGTTGCACTAATTCTTTCTAATTGCAGGGTTTGGACCCTTAAAACTTTGCTCTGCATTGTGGGACAAGTGAAAACAATGATGGGTCTTCTTGGTTACTATAGGGTGGAACAGGAATTCAGCTAAAATAACCTCAAAGCATTCCTCCTGGCATTCTTTCCTGGATTGGAGGCTGCCCCCTCTGTTCTCCCACAGCTCCACAGGATGTCCTTTTCTGAAAACTGTTACTTTGCTCTAGAATGGCCTGCAGCTCTAGATCTGGGCTCATCTATCTTCTCTTTCACAGTATCCCCAATACTTGGTCCAGGAACTAGTACATATTCAGTAAGGATTGCTGGAATGACATAGAAGGGAACATGTGTAAGAGAGGAGCGTCTTCTCCAGCACTGATCTGTACACTCCCAACCAGCAGTGCCTGGTACACAAAACCTGGGCACACCCAAGGGACCATGAACCAGAAGTAAAAGCTCATTCAAGTTTCCTATTGTCTTCTCTAGTTGGAAGAAGGGCAGTTGTGAGTAATGAGGGACCAAAAAAAAAAAATCTGTGATTTTTTTTACACTTTTTATCACATTTATTATTTATTTATATGTGTATGCATGTGTACATGCCCAAGTGTGTGCCATGGTGCACATGTGGAGGTCAAAAACAACTTTGAAACTCAGTTCTCTGAGCAGGTGCCAGATAGTATCAGTTGTCAGCTTGACACACCTCAGAAGAGGGAACCTTAATTGGGGAATTTCCTCTACAGGACTGGCCTGTGGCAATGTCTATGAGGTATTCTCTTGATCGTTGAGTGATACTGAAGGGCCTAACCCACTGTGAGTGGTGCCACGCCTAGGCAGGTGATCCTGGATGATATAAGAAGGCTGGGCACAGGCCAAAGGAGCAAGCCAGTAAGCAGCATTCCTCTGTGGCCTGTGCTTCGGTTCCTGCCTCCAGGTTCCTGCCCTGAGTTCCTGCCTTGGCTTCCCTTGATGATGGACTGTGAACTATAAGCCAAATAAACCCTTTCCTCCCCCAGGTTGGTTTCGGTCAGAGTGTTTTATCGCAGCAATAGAAACCAAACTAGGACATGGGTCTTAGAATTGAGGTCAAGTCATCGAGCTCAGTGGCAAACACCCCACCCACTGAGCCATCTTGTTGGCCCTACACCTGTGTCTCAGGATAGAGAATGAGGACAAAGAGGTAAGAACAAAGTGAGGAGAGAACAGATAACAAGTCAAGTTCTTAAGGAAAGAGAAAGAGGGGAGCTGGAAAGATGGCTCAGTGATTAAGAGCACTGGCTGCTCATGCAGATGACCCAGGTTCAGTTCCCAACACCTACACAGTGACTCACAACTGTTCATAACTTCAGTTCCTGAGGATCTGACGCCCTCTTCTGACCTCCACCGTCATTGCATGACACGGGTACACTTAACATACATGCAGGCAATACACGAGCCCACATAAAAAAATAATAGTAAACAAAATATTTTAAGGATGGAGAAAGAAACAGGGAAGACTGTAGACAGAATTCTAGCAACATCTCATTCAGGACTAAATAAATCTAGCTTAAGCAAGATAAATATTCCCCCTCTCCAAACATTCTTTACGAACACTTCCTTCTCCCTTTCCCTCTCCTTCTCCTTCCTCTTCTCTTCTTCTAATGTCCACAAGGCCTAAGAACGTTAAATATCATCTCTAACTCATGATAAATACTTTCTCATTTGGTGGGAGAAAATTTGAAGGGCTTGACATAATTGTATTTGCATTTTAGAAAAAAATAAGATCAAGAATGCTCGGTCATGAATCAGAACTGATATTGTCTCCGTCCTGTCTATACCATTAACAAAAGGGTACTGATGTGGTCACTCACACTCTAATCAAACCCCTAAAGATGGGAGCCCAAGAGTGTTAGCCATCACCCAAGATTCCCACTATCATAAGTCTGCCGGCCCCATCCCTCCCTAAGGAGAACATCCAACCACCACCACTGGAATGTGCTAGATGTGGGTATGGGGTGTCTCTTTCTTCTCTAATATACTCCCCAAAATTGGCTATTTTTTTTTCAGGATTTTTAGGTTGAGAGTCAGTCCACATGTATGAGTTAGGAAGAGGAAGATAGGGGCTTATGGTGGAGCTCAATTGGTAGAGTGATTGTTTAACATGCACAAAAACCTGAATTTGGGGTTGGGGAGATGGCTCAGTGGTTAAGAGCACTGGATGCTCTTGCAGAGGACCTGAGTTCAATTCCCAGTACCCACATGGCAGCTAACAACTATCTGCAACTCCAGTTCCAGGGGATCCAACGCCCTCTTCTGATTTCCACAGGCATTGTACGACATGAATACATTTACATATGTGCAGGCAATAATCTCATACACATAAAATAATAAATGAATTTAAAAAAAAAAAACTAGTTTGATCACCAATAACACACAAACCAGGCATAATACACACCTGTAATCAAAGCACTCAGGAAGTGGAGGAAAGATTCAGAAGTTCAAGGTCATCTTTGGCTATTTAAGGATGTAAGGAACTCAAGGCGACCTAGGATACACAACATCCTGTCTCAAAAAAAAAAAAAAAACAAGGAAGAAAGGCACTCAAGAGATGGATGGCTCAGTAGTTAAGAGCACTTACTGCTCTTGCAGAGGATCAGAGTTGAGTCCCTTCTTACATCATCAGGTGGCCCAAGCTCCTGTAACTCCAGCTCCAGGGGATCCAATGCTATCTTCTGGACTCTGAGTACATTCCCACATAGACACTCACATATTCACATATACATACAACTTAAACAATTTTTTTAATCTAAAACAAAAAATCAAGGAAGTGATAGGATGAAGTGCCTCCTTCCTGCCCTTATTCCTCTGGCCATTTTAGGAGCTACCTAAAAGAACATTACTGTCTACAGATTCCTAGTGTTAATACCTCAAGTCGAATCACCCAGAGCAGAAGACATTCTTTTAAAATCTCCCACTCTGTATAAAAAGAATTCATGAAGATGCCAAGTCTTGAATGAACACCATTTATTTTCCTTTCCTATGTCATTAGCATTCTAAATAAGTTTTTCTACATCTTCAGGAGTTGGGAGAAGTCTGGATCCCATACCACAAAGCTCTCAACGATAGAACAGAAGCACGGCTGCTTCGGTTATCTCTCGGCTGCTGCTGTACCTAGTGTGAGTTCCATATCCATTCCAATCAAAAGCAGAGAAGTCTCCACACTGCCAGGGCTTTCCCTCTGGGAAGTACCCTCCTCCACCGATGCAGTGCTGAGAAACGAGGAAAAGAGAGGAGTAATGAGAAGTCAGCTGGTGTTTTGATTTGGATATGAAGTGGCTTATGTATTGAAGACCTGGTCCCCAGTTAGGGAAGTGTTCGGATCATGAGGTCTCTGCCTGAATTCATTGGTTAATCATTGATGGAGTCACAATTTTGAATTGACTAATAGAAGGGATAGAACTGTGGAAGGCAGGGCCTGCTTAAAGGAAATAGATCACTGAGGAGGGGCATGTTTGTGTGTGTGTGTGTGTGTGTGTGTGTGTGTGTGTATGTGTGTGTGTGTGTGTGCTTGTACATGCATGTTTGCTTTGGAGTGGAGGCCAGAGGACAACCTTTGGGTGTCTGTCCTTGCCTTTCCACACTTTGTTTGAGATGGGCTCTCTTCTTCACCAGTATGTGAGCCAGGTAACTGGCCTTAAGAGCCTCCCATCTCCCCCTAGGGACACATTGGTATTACAGACACTTGCACTACTCCATCCAGCTTTATGCAGGTTTGGGCGATCCAAACTCAGGTTATCAGGTTTGCCCTGAAAGTACTTTTACCCACTGAGCCATCTCCTCAGCCCAGAGAGGCATTTTTTTAAGAAATAAATATTTATTATTTTTATTTTATGTGTATGAGTGTTATGCCTGCATGCAGATTAATGCACCTGTGTCGTGCAATGCCCATAGAGGACAGAAGAGACTGCCGGATCCCCTGAAACTGGAGTTACGGACAGTTGTTAGCTGCCATGTGAGTGCTGGGACATGAACCCGGGTCTTCTGCAAGAACAGTCAGTGTGCTTAACCGCTGAGCCATCTCTCCAGCCCAAGAGGCATGTTTTTGAAGGGTATCTTACCCTGGCCTTTCCTGCCTGCTTTTATCATTGCTTCCTGATCACCATGAGGTCAGAGCTATTGCTCCAATATACCCTTCCTGCATGATGTTTCTGCCTTGCATGGGTCTAAAAGGAATGGAGCCACTAACCATAGACTGAACTCTCTCAAACATGATAAGCCCTTCCACTCTTAAATTGCTTCTCTTGGGTATTTATCACAGAGACAAAAGGTGACTAATGCAGCTGGTGAGCCCAAAGACACCCTTAATAGCAAAATCCATTGGCCTCTTTGGTTGTCATCAGACTCTCCATTGCAAGTGTTGGTCTATTTGTCCCATTAAAACCTCTCTTCTGGGGATGGAGAGATGGCTCAGCAGTTAAGAGCACTGACTGCTCTTGCAGAGGACCCGGGTTTGATTC